GTCTCCCTGCCACTCATTAAAATAAGATTCCAGATTCTTGGTATTAAGCTCACTTTGAAATAAATCCTGTTTTAGGCCTTTCACATGCCTCATCTAATCTACTGCTTCCATTTGCCACATGAGGCAGGAAATGTATTATCTCCATTTTACAGGTATTTAACCTGAAGACTGATTCTATCACAGTTCTGAGTCCAGGGTCCTAACCTAACACAGGGTCCTGAAGAATAGAGTACTCCAAATAGCACTTGTGGCTTTGGGTTGAATCTTGGGTCATTCTCTTTGAAGAAAATCTGCACATAACCTAATGGTCCAGCTTTCCATGTACTCACCCAAGCTGGTTTTTGTAGTGGGACTTGGACAGGCAGCTGGAAATGGGGACAGATGACATGGGAGAGGGCGGCCTGAGCTCTCACTGGAGTACAACCAGCACCAGGTTCCTATAAGAACAACTTCGCCACCCCGACTCCCTGCTGTCTTCCGGCCTTTTAAAATCTATTCTTTTTTCAGTCTAGAGCACTGGCTGGCTTCTGCTTATGTGCCCTTCCTCTGAGGTCTCAACTGACAAGAGCTTCCAGGCTGCTCAGAATGGAGTCAAGGGTGGTAGTTTCCTTGTGCGGGAGTGCCTGAGCCCTAGACAGGCACCGAGCTGACTTATGGCCCCACCACCTACTAGCTGTGTGACTTCAGGCAAAGAAATGGAAGCTCGGCCTCCTCATCTGGCAGATGGGTTTAACAGCTCCCTGAGGGTTCACTGAGGTGGTGACGTCAGCTCCTGCCCAACATGCGATGAGCACTCAGTCTGTTGAGATCTTGCTTCCAGCTGTGTCTTCTCTTTGGCTCAAATAAATTTTTATGAAAATTCTCTGCAGGTTTGCACGTTCTTACATCGACAGAGCCAAGATAATCTTGAAGGATCCAAAAGTAAGAAAGTACCAATAAGAAAAAAAATTACATGAAGATGGAAAAATGTCAAAAAAAAAAAAAATCTGAGCCTATGGAAACAGCTCTCAACAGCCAAGCCTCTGGGCTTCAAGATGTCCTTGCTGCATTTGCCTCCTCGCACACTCATACTATTTCCCCCCTCATCTCAGACATGCTACGTCACAATTCTGCCAAGGCCGGTCAAAGACTTCACACCATCTCATAAACATATGCCGAAAGACATTCTCAGTCACAGACACAAAGATCTATGCGAAATCATGTCCACTGTAGTATTTTTAAAAACAAAGGGCTGGAAATAACCAAAATGTCCATTTTGTAGGAATCTGATTAAATACATGATAGTATATCCATGGAATGGCAAACCCTGACGCTTTTGTAAAGAGACAAAAGACTAACAGTGTGTGCTGGTATGGAATGAGCTCTATGTGCTGAGTAGAAAGAACAAAGTCCAGGACAGGGTGTGTCATCTGCAAGGTGCATGTGACACACACATGCACCGGAGTGTCGCGAACGTAAGTCAAGGGCAGTGCGACTCACAGGCAGGGGCAGGGCTGAGGCCACAGTCTGGAGGGGAGGAAAGTTACTGTGGCTGCTCTTCATCCAGACATGACAATAAGGAGACATGTTCTTCAGGGGTAAATATGCAAAATTTATATGGAAGAGGAATTTTAAGAACTTGAAAAATATATCAAAAGAATAATATACGCATATGATTTATAGAAACCTGACAGTACCCAAAAAGTATGTAGTAAGAAAAATAGCCCAGTTCCCTCCTCAGAGACAGCCACTGGTCCCACTGTCAGGACCCATGATGTCCCGGTGACTTCTCCACTCAGAGATGGGCTCGCTTTGCATCATCTGCTCCCACTCCTGCCCAGCCCCCCTGTGATCAGTGGGTCAGAGGTAAAGGTGTCATACATGCTGGGGGAGTTTTCTCTCTGTATCTGAGCGAAGCCCAGGTCTGGTCCCCTTGGCCTCACAGAGGGGCTATTTCTCTTCCTCTGAGTCTCCACTATCTTTTCTTCCTCTTTGAAAGATGGGACTGGGCAAAGGGAGGATCATCCCACATTAAGGAGGAGGGGAGACAAGCAATAGCTTAGAAAACCAGGAGGGGGAACCTTGATGATAATAAACACCCCATATTTACATAGAATTCGATAGATGACCAGTATCTGGACTTGCTGTGTGGTCTTTTGTTAACTGCCAAACTCTCCGCCCATTCTCGTCTGCTTTGAACATTGAGGGATAGTATTTAACACTCTCGCTCTTACAATGTCTGTTACAAATCATTTTCAAGGCAAAATACAGTCCGTGAACAAAACCCCGCATCCTCTCCAGACAGACTAGGACCCGTTCTGTAAAGACTCGTGTGGTGTCATGACTGCGGATTCCCCAAATCGGATGTGGGTCAGAGTGGAGAGAGCTGCGGCGGGTAAGGGTAAACCCTAAACCCCTCCAGCTCCTTGCGGCTCAGTCGGACAGCGTTCTGGGCTTCGGGTCGTTGCTTTCTAATCTGCAGAAGAAAAGAACTTCAGGCCCTCCCACTAGGACGTTCCTATCACAACCCTGCGGGGCATGAGTTATGATCCCATTTTACAGACTGAGAAAATAAAGCTCAGAGTGAGGAAACAGGTCACTCGTGGTCAACAACTTCATGTAGAAAGTAACGGAGGGGCTTGAATGCAGTCCTGCTGCCTACAACTCAAGTGCCTCTTAACCACACCATGCTTCTCCACAACCCCCCAGACTGCCCTGGCTCAAGCAGTATCCCCTACAACCCTGGACCGCCCAGGTGGCTTTAACGTGGCATTACAGTTGAAGTGCCAAGAACCCCCGCAGGCACCCACACTCTGTCTCCCCGGCAACGTCTTCACTGGATGATAGATGGGAGCTTGGGCACAGTATGGGGCTGGTGGGTGATGGATGGGGATGCTCTCTTTGCCTTAATGTCTCTGGATATAAATGGGAGGTATAACCACATCCACGTCATAACATGCTGTGCGGATTAAACGAGATAACGCACATGAAGCCTCTGGAGGGCTCCCACGCACACAACAAACCCTCGATCTTTCCGCTCCCTAAGTGGTCTGAGGGGAACCCAATTCGACCTCCAGGCTTAGTGACACCTCTGTGCAGTGTCCATCCCAGCGGCAGCTTAAGATCACCTATGTCCTGGAATGACTCTCAATTACTGGCTAACTTTAGAAAATCATTGAGATTCACTTTTCCCCCACTGCTCTGATCCCCCCACCCCTCCCCCATACACTCGGAAGGGAGAGGTTCTAGCACGTGGCCCAAAGCTCGGGAATTCGCCTGGAGACAGCCCTAACTCAAAACTCAAGCTCCCCAATGAGAGCCAAACCCCAACACATGACATGACCTTGGTTAGCCCCTCACTCTCCATGGACCTCAGCCTTTTCACCTCTGAAATGAAGATGTGGGTTAGATCCCTGAAGTTCCTACAAGCCTGAGGTGCCAGGGATGCCTTCTTCACAGGTGCACAGCGTCAAGGCTGCTGTGCACAGCGTCGAGGCTGCTACGCACACCAAACCCACTGGAAGGAGCTCCAGGGCCTCACCTCTTCGTAGATGGTGATGGCAACAGCAGGGCTGTGGCTCCTCTTCCTGGATCCAGACTGGAAATTCAGAGGGTAAAGAGCGCTTAACTCCAAATCAAGAAATGCCTTGCTCCTAATGAACATGAGGGGTCCCCAAAGAGACTCAGCGCCAAAAAAGTCTCTGAAGTGATGGGATCTCCTGCCCCCGAGTCAGTCTTGGTTTTAATGTTCCAGAGAAGGCATAACACAGACTTGCCTGTGATAAGACATTTCTGAACCAGTCAGAGCTTAGCATCCCACACCCACACACCCCTCAGACAAACCTAACACAAATACCGCCTCAAACCATGTATCTCTTCAACACACAACCCCCCGGGTACCCAGTCCTGGCACGCCCTGGACACACTGAGCGCTGGAAATTCTGGAATACAGAAGCACGTTCGGTAGAGTCTTCAGAACGTAGCACCAGAGCAGGGGGCCACGGTGCCTGTGCCCATCCGTATGCCCATGTGTCGTAGCATATAATTCACATATAAGTATCTCTTTGGTAGAATCCAAATTAATTGAATGGCTTATCGGAAAGAGGGTGAATGAAAACTGAAAATCTGTCCTCAACCTCTTGCCCATTTGACCCAAACACATGAGCCCTGACGTGCTTGTACTCACGCTTCCACGGTGCGGCAGATGCCCAGCTTCCCACACTGCCATGCTGACGTTACGGACCTAAGCTGTGACTTTACCTCTGGAATATTATTCTTCCCACTCAAGGTGAAAAGATGACACCAGGATACTCGACCCCATGGCTCCAGGGTACGGACACCAGGGTACTCGACCCCATGGCTCCAGGCGCACACGAGAGCCGTGGGCTCAGCCTGGAGCAGGATTCGAGGGGGCTCCGAGGGCTTGCCTCAGTCCGCAGGCCTCGACCGCTAGGTGACTGGCCAGAACTCCCGTCTGGCTCCGGGAGCGGTGCCGGACCGGGCCGGACCGGGCCGGACCGGGCCGGGCCGCCCGAGGCCCCCGCCGCCCTGCGCGCGAAGCGCCTCCTGTTTCCGGAGCTCTGCCCGCCTCAGGGTTCCCGCAGCCGCCTCTAGTCCCCTCTCCTCTTAGTCTCCCAGCTGTTCTTTCTCTACAGACGGAACTAGGAAGGCATTTTCTACTTGGCCCATTAACATTTAAATACAATCACATAAG